ATCCCTCTTGCCCTGCCACAATAATAAGGGATCCATGGTTGGGTGCAATGGTGAGTCGGAAAGGGATGCCCCAACCATATCTTGCGCTGAGTATCATTTGCTGGGGGCACTCTAGTGGGTCTCACTAAGCTGTTCAGTGCCTTAGCCCAAAAAGTAAGTGCTCCAGAGGACTGAGCAGTGCTAGATGAGAGAGTATCAGACTGACACTCTTCAAACTTCTCTATCTTGAATTACAGATATACAGGTGAAACTTGAATAATTAGAATATCGTGCAAAAGTAATTGCAGTAAGTGCTGCAAAAGGGGCCCAAACCAAGTACTGAGTACATATGCATGCTTGTACTTTTCAGAGGTCCGATATTGTTCTATGTACAATCCTTGTTTTATTGATTGCATGTAATAATCTACTTTTTTGAGGTTGTGGATTTGTGGTTCTTGGGGTTTTAATGAGCTGTAAGCCATAATCATCACAATTATGACAAATCACGGCTTGAATTATCTTGCTTTGCATGTAATGAGTCTATCACATATATTAGTTCACCTTTTTAAGTTGCATTAGTGAAATAAATGAACTTTGCACGATATTCTAATTATTCGTGTTTCACCTGTACAGTATCTTTTCCCGATGTTTAGGAGACCTGCAGAATTCCCTCTTCTCCCTGCTGACACGGAACAGGAACAGACTCACTGATTACTGCACAGCTGCTAGCAGTGCTAGTGGTGGCAACTCTGGCAGTAGCGGCGATGGTGAGAATATGAGATATGAGCATGACCAATTCCCTCCTAAGAATCCAGAAACCCTCTTCAGCTGCACAAGTGGATGCACACTGGGAAAACCATGCGCAGCTTCGGCCTGACCTCTGCCGTCTACAAAGCAGGTGTCACTATGTTACTGGCAGTGGATGTGGCAAAGGTGGTTATGGTAATGCCACTGTTAGTTACAGCTGTGCAGGTGGTTCTGGGGCGATGTCCTGAAATAGCAAAAGACTAGTAGGTCCCCAGCGTTTACTCCGCTCAATCGTGCTTGGAATGGAAGTTGCATGTCCCTGCCTGTCCTTTTCAGCTTGTAGGGAGGGGTGCTCAGCTGATGGTGCACAGACATATGATGGGTTACCTGCTCCTGTTTACTCTCCTTTACAGATTGTGTTGTACCTCTCCCCCTTCGAGACCTAACAGTAGTGAATGTTTTACTACTGGTGGAGGGACCGGTCATGGCTGAGCTTGCAAATGCTGCGGCGCCAGATTGTGACACAGACGTGCAACTTGTGGTGGTGGTGGTGGTGCCGCTGGCTGCATCAGTGACAGTGTCAGTAGTACTAGCAGCAGGAACACTGCTCACTTCAAGAAAGCAGACTGTATGGATGAATTCGATTAATTTGAATTCAGAAATTTAGATATATCTGAAATCAGAAATTCAGATGCAGATCCGAATGTCAAAATTTAAACACAACTTACATTTCTACCAGGTAATAGAGGTAAGTTCGGCAGAACTAATCCACCCTGATTACATAGGGTTACATAGAACCATAAGAGACAATCTAGATGTTGACTGATCCCACAACAAAAAGATCAAATGGGAATTTATAATTTTGAAGTTTTTCAATGGCAGATAACCTGGGGCATTGGCAAGGATACATAAGAATTTCTGCAAGTAACTAAGTTCACTTTACCCATTAAATTAAGTAGAAGTGTCTGCCAGTGTGGACTTTTGTCTTTCAAGGCATTAATCACTGGATTAAGATTGCTGGTTATATATTTAGAAAGTGGGGTCTGAATCGATACAGCCAAATATCGGAACTTAGATACTAAACTAAGATTGCAATCTGTGGGTAACATATCAGCAGATATGTCATCAATTGGGAACATGATCGACTTCCCCTCAATTTACTTTAAACCCCCAAAAAAGACCAAAGTGGTTAATGAGTTCCAACAAATTACCAACTGACATGTTGGTATCTGCTGAATAAATTATCATATCATCCATATGTTGAAATACACTCTATTCTATTTGGCCTAATTCCAAATCTTAAATGTGAGGGAAGGTATGATATTAGGAAGTGTTGATGTCAGATTTGTTTGCAGAATTGCATGCTCATTTATTATAGTCTTACTTGAGATTTGCTGTGTCGCAGGAGAGATGCCAGCAAACGATTTGCTTCTCCTCGTACACCAATGTGATCCTTCACTTCACACCACTGCACAAGTCTTGCCAGGAACTTGGGATCCTGTCCTAGAATCCTTGCTGTATCAGCTTTAACAAGAAAAAGCAATGTAATTCCAATATGCAAAGTGAACTTGTCATTAAAAATAAAGGTAAAACCAATAGCTAAGCAAGGCACAACTTAGTACCTGCATGTGTGCATATCCAACAGCTGTATTTCTATTTAAGATTGTTTGCAATGGAAAATGAATAATTAATGTAGGCAGACACAGAATTGCAACTCATCTTGTAGGCACTTTAGGGCCGATTTACACAATACACTACGTTTAGGGCACGTTATTGTACAGCACACCTAGCGTACAGTACAGCATGCTAGGCGTTGCCAATAATTTGACTGACAACCCAACACACCTCCCAGCTGGCTCTGATCCAGAGAGTCCGAGTTAGCTGTCAATCAGGCAGTAGAGTGAATCCCGACAATATTTTGGGATCTTTACCAGCTGCAGTGCGTCTCTGTGCTGTCAGCATATAGTAGGCAATAGTCAGCTATATGCTGAGTTTTGGGTCATAGGAGTGCATTAGTAAATGTTCTTCTGTAACCCAAAGGAGAACTATAGCCAAAAAAGGATTGGCTATATTTTTATTTCTAAAGCTAAACTGAACTTTTAGTTTAAATTAACTAAATAAATTCCATAAAAACAAAAAGTTATTTTCATAAAGCAGCCACAGCCTGACTAGAAAAGCCTGTCTCCTGCCAGCAAGCTGCAGAGTTGGACCTTTGCTGTCTGTGGGGAAGCAGTCTGACATGCCCTTCTATTGAGTCAGAGCCAGAGTTTTGCAATCAGTGGGGATCATGAGCTTTCTGATTGTAGAATTCTAGCTCTGGCTAAGTAGGGGTGTGTTGAACCACAACTTCCCCACGGAGAGCAAGGTTTCCCCGCTGAAGCTGCTGGTCATGGACAGGCTTTTCTACAAAGACTGTGTCTGGCATAGAAAGAAAACAAACTGTAAGACATTGATCTCCTTTTGTGTTGATGCTTGGAATGTATTTAGCCGATTTAAACTGAGGGTTCAATTGGGCTTTAAAGTTACAATCAGCACTTCCATTAAGATGTGTGTTAATCTCCCAAAACTGGAACCATTTTAAAATAGTTTGTATGAGCTTGATGTGCACATAGCTCTTACACATTCTGAAGGCATTTTTTACAAGGCCTTAGCCACTGGTATTTGTTAAACTGTTATCTCAAACCTTTATTTAATGGAAGGCTCACTGTGAATGATGTGTTTCAAGGAAAAGTTTATTTATTGATTATTGACATTATCAACAGAATCTTTAGTGCATTGTAGAGGCATATGTTTTATAAGAAAACCTGTTTTTCTAAATGAATTCACACAGTAACAGGGAAAATGCATCCGTACAGTTGTACTTTTACAACACAGAAGTATTGAATGCCGAATTAAAACTCTATGCATACTGCCACCTTTATGTGTTTATTGTATTTAATATAAAGTTATACACACATTTCAGTTAATTGTACGTAATGTTATAAAATGAAAGGGCCTGTGTTATAGGGATGTTCAGATACCAGTGCCGATACTTGGCATTTTAACTACCAGGGTTGTAGCAGTTGCAGCTGGGACCTGGCTCTGGCACTCCACCACTGTCCTAAAATCATTAGTCTGTATCAATAATTGTATCTGTGAATACTTGGACAAGTACATGTATTTGGTCTGGAACAAATGGTATCGTGCCTCCCAAATACCGTACTTGGTATCTGTGCATCCCTAGTTATTATATTAGTAGAATTTATCATGCAATGTAAAAATAGAACATTTACAATCGTATTCTTTAAAAAAACAAAAAACTTGTTGGATTGTAAAAGTAATAAGGTTAAAGCAGACAGCACTGCTGGGGCACTCATGATAGCTTAATTACTCTTGAAGTGTGACATTTACTTTAAAGAGATCTCTGGGACAATTTAGATATCCCACATATGCTGCTTTATCCAGAAAGATATCTTCCTGTGCTTGATGAGTGGGAAGATATCTGCCTATTCTCAATAGAATCTCAGGAGTAACCTACCTACAAAGATTCTCATCTGATAGTGACAGCTTTGATGCTGCCTACTGCTCCATAAATGGGAAATACATTGGGTCCCATTTACAGGAGGATTTTTGTAAACTTTGCCTGTGCAATAATGAACTAATTGAAACTCTAGAAAAACATATTACTGTATGTAAGCATCTTGATTGTTAAGCAGCATGTATGTGCAAGAAGTAGTCTCTCCCCATCCCACTGAGTATTGTTTATGTATGCTTAAGACTTAGGTTCTAATGAAATCACTACTTGCCGAGTTTTCATTTATTAACTTTTAACTCAGCGATAGAATGTTTGTGTTCACACCTGACCCATAGCTGAATGTATATAAATATAACAAGCCAAAAACCAACGCCATCATGAATTTTTCTGCAGTATATTTTTTGCTATATCATTGGGTCACAGAAGAATGTCACATGACACCTAGGCTTCTCTTATACAGGCTACCCCTAAATTAGACACAAATCCTGCCTCTATCAAATAATCAGTGGACCCCTTTTTAAAAAAAATATGTAGGATGCAAAATTCCTGTGTACAGTTTAACCCCCTTAAGTAACAACTGGGCTGTGGCAACAATTAAAGCCCATTGCAGACAATGATAGCTAAAGGATTACTGTCACTGTGTAATTGTAGGTAAAGTCCTTCCTGTGCAATCAGATGAGAAGGGCTAAGAAATCCATGAGTGGCCCCAGCAGTGCTCACCTCCTTGGGGGGTCCTGGCCCAGATAATGTTCAGGGGACCAGTGGAGCACCCACTCTAGTGTAGGGCACACAGTGACCCCAGCAGTCACGTGTACAGGGTTCAGCCCAGGTAGACAGGTAGTGAGGCTTAGCTCCTATTCCAGGGCCTCAGATTACAGAAAGGAGTAGCAACGCAAACGAAGCATCCAGCATTGGGTGAGAGGACAAATATGGGTAGCTGCAGGATGCTTGGCTCAGCTGCTGTCCAGGTGGTACCCTGTTTCCCCGAAAATAAGACCTACCCCGAAAATAAGACCTAGTACTATTTTTGGGAATTGCTAAAATATAAGACCTACCCCGAAAATAAGACCTAGTTGTGACCATTCCCAGGGCCGGTGGTGGCATAAGGGGGAACTTGAAGAGCCGCGGGAGAGGCAGGAGAGAATCAGCGGTGCCAACGAAGCCAGTGCTAGAGGAAGCGAGGCGGCTCCGAAGGGAGCAGAGCCGCATAAGCCGATGCCTCCTCTATAGCGCCGGCTCCTGTCACAGGCGGAGTGATACCAAATGCACTTCGCCTGTGAGGAATCGATAGTGAAAGTGCGCTTCACTAATTCTGGCCAGCAATTGGTTAGCAAATTGCTCTTGGAAAGGTACGGCACCCCTGATTGCCCTGATCACCATATTGTTGTACATGAATACATGTAGACTTCTCTACATGAATAAGAGTTGATTGTTGTACAT